GAGAACAATAGCTTTGATCAAGGAACCTGTTAGTCTTATAGTTAGGAAAGAACTGTTGTGCTCCTTAAAAAATGGCCTTCCAATAAAACTAGGCACCAATCTTGGGCTTCATGGACCACAGCAACACAGAGTTGTTTGTGGTGATAGCACCTGATTCTGACCAAATATTTATGCCCTCATACCTGTTGCGACACAAACTCAAGACATCTGTGACTGTGACTGTGAGCAGTATGACTTGGTGAACCAGGCCAAGGAGAAGAGACCGATTTCTGCAGCAAATGAGGGGAAAGCAAGCCTCTATTTTTCTATTTATCTTTAATTGGTTTTGGCGTCAGCAGAGGGAGGAAATACCATGGGCCCTGCAGGTGTTTGCCTGTTAGTGAGTCTATTTCCAATTCCTCGCCTGAGGTCTCGCACAGGTGCTGGTCCATTGGTGACTCAGAAAAATGTCAGCGAGTGGCAGTATTTGCAACATTCATCCTCCATCCCTCCCATACTATCCTCTTAGGGACCACAGTCAGTGAATCAAGAGCAGACAGGCCCATAAATATGGCACACAAGCCATAGGTGAACAAACATTACTGTTTATAAGGGTTGGGGTTAGGCACAGGATTTCAGGATTTGTGTCCTGTAATATTAATGCTTGCATTTCAGCTGAGTATGCACAGAGGTTCTTTCTTTTGTGTTGGCTGAATCTGCTTGGCGTTAGTCTTGCGTTTTTGTGGATTTAGAGTGTAGGAACACAACTATGGCTATGAAAGTTTTGACAGGAGTATAGGGAAATAAAAAGGTTGTTGCTCAGTCAGAGTCTGTAAGATTTTGAGAGACTTGCCCTGTAGAAAAGCCTCCATTTGTTGGACGGCTAGCTAGGTGGCATCCGTTCTATCTTCCTTCTTTCCTTTTTGAGCTAACTACAGTGGGCCCTTGGTATCTGATGGAGTTTGGTTCCTGGACCCTCTGTGGATACCAAAATCCATGAATGCTCAAGTCCCATTATATACAATGGCACAATCATATGGTATTCCGTATATAAAATGGCAAAATCAGGGTTTGCTTTTTTTTTTTAATTTATGAATTTTTAAAATATTTTCAAACCATGGATGCTTGAATCTGTGGATAAAAAATACATAGACATGGAAGGCTGACTGTACTCCCAAGCAGAAACTCATACCTTACAAACACTTGGAGAAGAAAAATCTAGAGATGGTAACAAGGGCTGCAAGGTATACCTATCTTTTCTTCATGAACACCATAGTCTTCAGTGGATTCTCCTCCTGCTACAGCTGGTTTTGTAAAGCACATGAACAAGTTGTTCTGGGATAGCAGAGCTAAAGGGAAACATACTTCCAATTGTGCTGAATGACCAAGGATCACCGAAGACTGCCCCCTTTGCCTTCCATATACAACATCCTAACAAGAAAAATAACAATTAAAACACCATCCTGACCCCAGGGAAGAAGCAGCAAGGCT